CCGATACTGTGAATTTTCTGTTATGTATCTAGACTACGATAAATATGTATATATATCGTTTTAGTAAAATCCACGAAACATCAATACGTCCTCCCACACATTGTTCCTACGCTATTTTGAATAAACATTAGAACTACCGAGCATTTAATATAATTGATATATAATCCCTATAAAAATTGTAACAATAGATTATTTCCAGTTTCTTCGGACCTTTGTTACACACTATTTATTTCCAAAATCATTTCGAATATTCAATACTTTTAAGGTATCCATAATTGCGAAATAAGAAAATCGAAACCAGTCATTTTTACTGGTACAGTAGTTCTAGTGTTAAATTTGAATGAAATTAGGACAAATCAATATCCAATCTGAAATTCATGTTGAAAATTGATACTGTTTATTTGTCAAGTAAAAATCAACACTATTCAATTCTTAATAAGAAATGTTTTCCTAATCCATACATAGAAAAGTTAATTTTTCGGATTTAAGCGTACAGATTACAAGATTAGATACATTCGTCGTTCATCATGTACTAGCTTTGTAAATTCAGAAGTTAACAAGATCAACTTAGTCGGCTAGTAAATAGTAGGAAGAATTGAATCAGTACCCCGAGAAAAGTGGATCAGAGCTGATGAAGATGCTAAGAAAAATGATAGAAGAGGACGAGAAACGCTTTGACTGCGCTTATTCCAGCAATTTGATCCTCCATCGCCGGCGCGATAATCCTGTTTCTTCGATTTGCCGGCTCTATTTCCGTCATCTCGGATCCAATCTAACCGCGTCACGCCTATCTAGCTGACTCAAATGCTAAAGTTCCGGGGATACATTTAGAATCGCTTTGGATTGGTGATTGGTCTACCCCGACCATCTCCTTGGAACGTTTTCCTACTTTCTCGTTTGACGGTTTCCTTTTTAGATTTGGTGGCTGGTGATGTCTCCTTTAGATGAGCAGTGACACAATTTCGCGAATGTTCGTATACAGCGTACTTCTAGTTTCTACTAAGTTTATGAGGACATTTCAATTCAGCTGAATGTTCACAACAAAATTCGAATTTTTTCTATAAAAGAGGTGATAGATGTATACACGAAGGAAATACGTGGACTGTAAGGCTTACAGAAAAATGAAAGAACCAGCAGTATTTAAATGAAACTATTTATTTAAATTATCCTGTATATTCGACGCTTTTAAAATATCAATAATTGCGAAATACGAAAACTGATACCGCAGATTTTACGGTAATTCTAGTGTTAACACTTAGTACCGTGTAACAAAAATTATAACCTTTTTTCACTAACTTGAATTGAACTCATTTAATAGGTTTTATTAAAAATTGTGTTTTATAAAAACAATAAAAGTATTTTTTGACTTGAAAATATGACCAGTTCAAGACTTACTAAATAACAATGGAAGAAAATGAACAAAATAAATGGCAATACCCCTTGCCTTATAATAATGTGTCAGACTCGTGAAGAATATTTAACATAAATTAACATAAATTAACATAAATGAACCCTTTGCACTCCTATGTCATACTGTAGATGACAATACAAATTTGTTATAGAACGTTAGAAATTTTTTTAAAAAGTAACACACTTTGAAGGATTATACAAATTAAATCTTATTATAATAATAATAAATGAAATAAATATAAAACATTGAATTCCACTGCTGTAAAGTACTTTAATTCATTTCCCTAAAAATAAATACAAGTTTACATCGAACAATATTGAAAATAAATCGAGTGCAAACGGTGAAGTATTACTTGCCTATTATTAATCTCTAACGTTTAGAGTAAATGTAAACACAAATCAAGTATAAAATTTGTTCCTTCTTCTACCAAATTATTAACGACAAAGTTGTTTTATCAAGCACAGTTGAGAAGTAAATCGTAAGACAAGAGATTAAATATAAAAATCGGTCGAGATCGAGATCCGATCGTCAACGGATAAGGTCTCATGTCTATTTTCTGGACGTCTCTTATTCACGGGGTCAACCTACAATCAGAATGGCCAGAAGTGCCATCTGTCCTTTGCCCGTAGCTGTAAATCCCCTATAATTCGCCATTCGGGCGTTAATTTCGCGCGTGTCACGGACATTAACAGGCTAACGATCGCTCAGGCGTTTTGACACTAGGAATGTTCTTCCCTATCCCTCTGCTCTTCTGGCTCTGTGACCTACTAATTTAGGTATTCATCCTTGGACTGGGGAATACTTTGCGTCCGGCGAAATTCCAAGGAAATTGAAGCGGGACTTGGTACGGAACGGCGACGCGGTGAAACTAGTTTCTGTTTGCAACTTCGAGCCACGCGAATCCGCGATACTTATTGAAG